TGTATAAGGCAGACACCCGACAGCAACAGCAAGGAAGTTTGTCAGTTTTATTCAAGATATAAATTTTCTATTTTACGCATTGGAGCTACACAACGTGACTGAAAGCACTTCCAATGTGATCTAATTTGTAAACAATCTCTTTGCACATGACTCCCAGTGTCTTCTCCTCGAGCATACAGTAATGTTTCACATTTGTTTTCGCATGTTTCCATCTTACTCAAATAAAACGAAGCAGTTGATTCCTATTTTACTTAGTGTTTATTCTTGTTTGATATTTTTAAACAAAAATGCACTCATTAAACAAATAGTAAATATGCGAGTTTTTTGTTTTTGCCGAACGAGACAAGGAAGACAAAATGGGGTAGTTTTGTGTAGGGTCGATCACGATCTTCAGTTTGTATCAAAAGCACGTCTCACAAATGAAATTTTTTTTTTTTCGAGCGATAATTTGATAGCAATTAAACAAATTTCAATCGTTGGCATATGTAAGGGCTGGATCACTTACTTTCAAGGGCTCAAAGTCCAGACGAACATTAAACTACGATGTTTTTATTTATCTGTTCTAGGTATGTTGTACTATTTTGATGATTTAATTTCAAGAATCTGTCAAGGAAACAATCTGTTGTTACTTTACATGTTCACGTAGGTTTAATTTAGCAGATTTTACTTGTCAGAGAAAATAGCAAAATTTGCCCATTGCGTCAGGAAGATCTATCCCGATTTGCTGCACTGAGGTTAATTGCGGTTTTTACTACTCCATCGCTAATGACACTAATTACCAAGAATTAAAAAAAACAAGTGAAATTAAGTCGCATTGGGAAAAAAATCCATAAGAAAATCAAAGCAAAAATTATTCAACTGCAGATGAGACAAACCCCGACCTCTAGAAATACCTCATTCATAGAGTGCTTCATTAGTGCCCTTTGTTTACAAGTATAGTGTCCTTGCATGTTTTTCAAAATGCCCATATCAAAATTTTGTGTTTCTATATACAGTATGTGATAGATTCTCAGACATCTTGATCAATTTTATTGATGGATTGACCTACCGGTACATGCAATTACATTCACTTATTAGGCAAAGCCTATACCTTTATAATACATGCTCTGATCACACGGGAGCTATTTACAGTTTAACTTTGATTTCTTATGAGTTGTGTTTTATTTACCATACTGCGCCCTCTGATGGCATAGTAGTGTAATAAAGTTATTATTATATACAATGGAAACCTATTTAGACTTGTCAACGCTCATGTTGGCTAACAGTGTAAAAAGTGAAGACACTTGTTAAATTTGGTGACCAGCTTATAGTATGTTAGAAAGAGTGTACAGTCTTCAAATAACCACAAGAGACAGAGTGGGGGGTCAAGATCGAATATACACGATTCTGGCATTTCATAATAAGTGCTTTCTATCAATAATTGCAAAAAATCAAAAAATATACATGAGATATGTGTACGTCATAACAGCATTAAAGGTTACAATGTATTAGCATATTGTGTACGCAGTACACATGCTTTAGGCCCTTTTTCCATATTTCACAGCACATGCGTCATCACAGTGAGGACAATTGCAATCATGCAAAGTAACGTTCAGCAACGTCAATGAGATTTGGCAATCAAACCTCATTGATGGTGCTGAAAGTTGTGTTTGTATTCGAAGCCCACACATAAGCGACGCTAACAGATATATACACAAGCTAACAAGCCACACCAACCCAGCAACTGTTCAGATTGAATAGGATTTGTACACACTCCCAGCATGTCATACTCTGTCATATGCAATTACAATTCTGGTTGCCCCATAACTCTAGGTGAACTCCACTAAATTAAATCTATGTGAACATGTAAAATAACAATAAAACTCATTGTTTCCTTGACAAATTCATGAAATAAAACACAGTGAATATGCTCAAAACATGTCAGAGAAAAGAAATGGTTTTAATTACTGCTTTACAAAAAAAAAGAGGAGTTAGGTTAGATTAGACAATGAATCCTCTCTTCCAATTTTTTTTGCAAACTTGGTGCACTCACAGTTTGAAAAGTTCTGTCTGTGGTTCAATGAACTCAAAATGTGGTTGCTTTGATTGAGGATTAAGGTAATATCTGCTACTGTATTTCCTCTATTAGAAGCACATTTCCAATAGAAGTGCAATTGCATTAATTGTATGCTTGATCATTGAAATATAATTTATTTTGACCGTAAACGCACATCGGTCATTTAAGTCAGCTCATGCCCTACTAATAGAGCAAATTCAGTATGGTACATTTTATTTAGGGACATACCGGTATGTTCAAATTCTTCATCAAATTAGTTTACCTAACAGATAATAATATCAAATTTGTAGTGTTTCCAAAACAACAATAAGCTTTTCGGCTTATTTGTATTTTTCATAAAAGCAAATATAATATTAAACAAATAGTTACAAAGGTAAGGCTCAATATTCAGTTTTAATTACCCAAAAACGAAGATTATTGCACTGAGGTCAATAATTACTCGCAGGTCAATAAAACTGAATATTGACTGACACTGAGGTCACTATATGTTTTATTATAGTGAATAAATGAACATAACATAAATCATCAACATCTTTTTTAAACAACTATGCATGAAATCGAGGTCACTGGATTCTGAGATATAATGAGTTTTATTGACTGCCACATGACCATGTTCTGACCAATAAAAGTGACGATCTTACACACAAGATATAATGAACTGTGTTATTTTCATTGACAGGTATCAAGTGGCGATAGATCACCAGCCTAAATTAAATTTACTTGACACACCTTGGATGAAATTACTAGCAATTATGTTTATCACAGCTGGTGTAATCTTCATCTTCAGTAGTTACTGGGCACTTGGTTTTACAGGCACATTTTTAGGTGAGTAAGTCAAGTGTTTTGAGTACTGCCATGGTAATTGGTGTTTGTTGTGTTTTCCATGCAATCCTAACATATGTAAAATACATTGTTTAAATAGTAAAACATCTGACTAAAATAAGATACTTGCTACCTCTTACATAACACGAACAAGTGTTGATATTGCGCCAGGTTTAAGTTGTCGGCGCTTCTCTTTAAAATCTAGTTGTTCTTTCATGAACGAGGACAGTTTTTCAAATAAAGAATCTGAGGTAAAGTGGACACTACATATGATGGTGCCAGGTGGTAAGGAGAAGTTCCACCCAAACCTTTTCTCGTTGCTTTCACGGTTTCTGTCCACTAATGTCACACCTTTGGATCGATTGGAAACATTTGAATACTTACACTATGGCTATACATATCACACTCGCCCACAACACAATGTTAAAATCATCGTCATCAATGTTTGTTGTGAAAACAACCTCTAAAAATCTCTAAAAAAAAAACGCCGACTGAAAAATGTATATTGTTTAAAAGTATGTTGAATGACAGTGTTATAAAAGTATGGCTCAAGAGTATGGCTTCCTCTCATATTTTGGCGGCGCACTTTCAGCGGAAATCTGGAAACAGTTGACTGTTTCAGGATAAAAAATCAATAACTGTTCATTTCAGTGGGACGCAGATCTAAAATGGAAATGTGTGGGTGGGCTTTTCACAGACACTTTAGCTAATATGCTATGCTATTTTCCTGGGAAGAGTATTGTTAATACAGCAAATCTTGTACCCGATAGTACACATATCTGCTCTGATACAATTAAATCAGTACTGTCATTAAACCTCGCATGTGTGTATTCTATACTTTCATAATTGTTCTTCTGTTCTCTCACAGATCTTTATGACTTAATGCACACTACATGCTATACACAGTTCAAATTATAAACTGGCTTTTGAAGGGTGGTGGTCATCATGCCACATCCTATGAGACTCATAGCGGCGTATACAGTATTTTTTAAGATGGAATTCAAACACGATCACTATCAATATCAATATATACACAATTGATTGTTGTGTGAGCCCCTCCTATGCACATGTGCAGTTCTGATGATTGTGATGCTTCAATGTATTAACAGTATTCCCTAGATCATCTCATATATTTTATAATTTGCTCCAATCATACTACCCTGAGTTTTTCCCCCAACAGGGCTGTTTGAACAATGATTACTCTAATTTCTTGGGAGATAATTTGATACCAATGTCTGTCACACTTGTCGATCTATTTGGCTGTCTGTTCATCTTTCTGTCAGTATATGGGTCTGTCTCAAACCCTGTTCCACTTATGTTTCAAGAGTTACTGGCTGGATTGAAATGAAACTTGGAACACAGCTACTACATTGTATATCAGACCAGGGCTGATAAAATATGGTACAAATTCATGCATATTAATTAGGTGATTTGCTTAATAATAGTTTTTGCTTGATCAGTGTGTATCTTTGCATCTGTTTGTACAAATGCAATGATTGCTGTTTGTGTAAATCAAAACTTTCTAATTGATCTGTGGTTATTAATCCGCTGTTTTGCATTATAAACTGTACTAACCAGCTTATTGAATGCCGAGGTGGCAGGTTTTCAAAAATGAATAAACATTGTATATGGCTATACCCTGGCAGTTAACTTATGAAGTTGCAAACTGCATGGATGTTTGGGAATTCCAAAACTATAATAAGATGTTTTTTCAAGATAACCATAAAATCAGAGTACGAGTTTCTTTACCACTAAATTAGCATAATTACTGTGAACTGCTTTAAATTCATGAAAGTAAGTTTTTGCAAACTTGCAACTCATGAAGTTTTGTAGTGAAATTACCCTGAGGGTCATACAATATGGCTTGTCATTGACTTTTGCAAAATTTCTTCTCCAAAACCATTGTGAAATCACCAAATTCCAAAAAATTCCTAGTGGTGAAAATTAAGCGGTCAGGGAAAACTATGTATATTTGGTAATGATCAAGATCACTTTTCAAGTGAGAGAAAGTAAATTACTGACTTTAATATTAATGAGATGCAACTTATTATTCCTATTGCAGGTGATTACTTTGGTATTTTAATGAAAGAAAGAGTTACATGTTTTCCATTTAATGTAACTGATAATCCTATGTATTGGGGGTCTGTGTTAAACTTCTTAGGAGTCGCTCTATGGTAAGTATATAAGAACATATTGCGTTGCATTTTAGTTTTGTGTTTTCACAGTGTTGACTTCAGTTGAGATCATTCATTAATCTTTATTGGATGATATTATATGATGATCCGAGTTCTTCTGAATATGTACTGTATAGATACGGGTAATAACTTTGCAGGTTTTTACTTTTCCTCATTTACAAATAGAATTTATTGTTTTATTCACAAACCAGTGAATTTAAAACTAGTGAATATCTCTGCAACATAAAATCTGCTGAAATTGAAGCCAACACTAAGTGTAAATTTCTGATAATTTTCAGCATATGTTGCAGATGATTTGATTGTTGTTTTAAGATTATTTATCAATGATTTTTTATATCTTCATAATATATTTCATATAATAATCATAAGACCCAGAAAAGCTACAGGAATGATCTCATAATAATACAGTGATTTTTTTCTTGTCACCACTACTGAACCTGTGTATATTGACCACCCAAGGAACTTTATTAAAATGATCTTTATAGACAAGTGGTCTTTATATGTTGGATGGTTTATTTTTTATAGGTCGCCAACTCATACATTGATCATACTATTGCACATTTGACCTTTTCACCACCAGACTTTCTCTTCCAACTGGGCTGTTTTCTTATATTCTTCAATGTTTCTGGAAATAAACCTTTAAAATTAATTAAATAATTCTTATAAATGGAATGTTAATTTTTATTTTGAACAAAGGCAAATCTGTAAAAATATTGTTGAAATGGTGGTCACATAAGACAGGTGGTTTTTATATAGAGTTGGTCACCAAGACAGATTTGACTCTATTATAAATTACTTGGTGCTTGTGTTCAAGTGCTTATTCATCTAACAGAAATGCCTGCATTATACATAAAAAGCACACTCAATGACAATTACATACATCAATGATTCACAAAATCTCTGGATGAACTTTAATGAAGGCTGCCACATGCCATCTTGAACAACTGATTTTTACATAGCAACAGTTGGCATGACAAAGGTCAATAATCCAATATTGTATTTTTCTAAAAGTAAAGGCGTGTAATTGCATATTTGGGTTGTCAAATTGCACTGGCTGTACAATTATTGTTAACATTTACAGTAAGTCTGGTGATGAAGTAATTCCTTTATGAATATTAATATGATATGAAAATAACAAAGATTGTGACATCTTTCTGGTTGTGTAATTGTTTGTCACTTAAAACACCTAAGAACAATATCGACACAGAGCAAACTGCCTTTCACAGAATCTTGAGAGAATCTTGTCACTAGTGAGTGCAATTTATTCTTTCTTTCATGGCGCACCAAGCCACAAGAGGCCTGTAACTAGTAATGGATCAGGCATTCTGATTGGTTCATCTCTTTCCTGTTGCTTGCTCTATTTCCCTTTGTTACCTGACGTCATCGCTTATGCTTATCGTCGTTAAGGGGTTTCCGTTTACTTTCGAAAATTGGGCGAATAAAAACTGGGTTTTTTTTATCAATTTGTACAGAAACAGCGAGAAATGCCAGAACCATCTCAAATATTAAGTTCATGCTGGCAGACTGTATGGGCATTACAGTAAATTACAGAAAGCGAATATTCAAATGTTTTCAAATTACGTCACTTGGTCACGTGCCTTTGGGCCAGAATCCCAGCCCAGTGGAACAATATGGCGATTACTAGTTCCGTCATACTTGCCATTCGCAAGGGACGCCGGAAACCAGTGAAACTTTCACCCAGCTATATCAAAGGAAAATCTTGCCACTAGAGGGCGCAAATTATTCTCTTTTTTCCTTTAGGTCTCACGTCACTGATTAGCCTATCAGCATTTTTTGTAGCCCTCAAATCCTATAGTTGTGATTGGCCAATTTTATCTGAAACGCAATGTATGAAGGCATACTGCAATTATGTCAGCTGTTAGACTTGTGTGTGTAGCTGTTTACTGGTGACCTGTGGATCTGGGCAACTCTCAATTAGACACTTCCAAATTGGCTGCGTGTCAGAGAATATTGAAGGTAGAAAGACTGACAAATCTTTGTGTTTTGTTTACATCCATTTTGAGCTAACCAACATGTTTTACTGGCTAGAATTATGTTACATACATGTGGTTTCAACAAATTAAAACAATATTTTGATTTTTGTAACATTTTTTCTTGGAGATATTCACCCAAACGCTGAAATTGTTGTGTATAGGATTCTAATTAGTGGTATAAGACCTTTACGCATCTGCATCCAAGAAGCATTTCACCACTAGAGGGCGCAAGTTATTCATTTCCCTTTCACTCATCTACATCAACGAAACATCTAAACACTAGAGGGCGCAACTTATTCTTCAATTTACATGAGACGTGATAAAAATAATACAACCATCTATTATTTTGTTTTGTTGTCTGTTTTAACCTTATTGAGCACCAGAATACCATGTTTCTACATTCTAATACCCCAACGGTCAATATGAACAGTGCTCACAGTTGTGATCTTAATTCAGTTTTATATTTAACTGATTATTTAGTTTTGGGGTAGAAACACAGATCTTCAAGCTTGAGATATAAGACTTGCTTAGCTAATCAGATGTATAGATTCAGACTATAACCTTTTCACCACCAGTTACCCCATTTCATCACAAATTCACAAAATTGTCCTGTTTATACATGTAGTCTCAACTTTCCTTCAGAAGATTGGGACAAAAGTAGCGAAATTTTTTGAGTGAATACTGAATATTGACTCAAATTCGGTCTGTTGGCTCCAAAATTAGGCTTCTTTTATCAGAAATATTGAACAATATAACAAAAAAGTTTGGGCGAGAAAGCCTGTTGTTGAAAAGGTTAAAGCATATTATAATTTGAGATGTTGAAATTAATTGTAATACGGTATATGTCTTTTTTGTTTTCAGGAATGTGAGCCCAGCTGGCTTTCTGTTAACAGCACTTGTAGCAGGTTGTTACAAGTTCGCATTATTTTTTGAAGAACCATTCACTGCAGAAATTTACCAAAGAAGAGGAGAAAATAAAAAGAAATAGTGACATTTGATATATAATATAAAACTGTATGGTAAAATCAAAATATTTTGTTATTTTTATTTTCAGCAAAAAGAAATAATGAGTACTTATTAAATGGAATTGGAATTAAAATGAAACAAAGTAACTTATTTTATAAATGGGCATTCCGATTATTTATAGAAAATATTGTCCTGTTAACGATTATTGTTCGTCAGAGAGTTAGCCAATCAGCTGTGTCGTTGCAACTGTGTGCCATTATGGCAATAAAACATGGTTTATTTTTTGTGTTCAGTCGGCCTTTTTTTTTAAAACCGTCTGCAATCAGTATCTTAGTATAGAATACCAAAGCAAAAAAATATATTTTTAACTCAAAAATATGTTTTAAAAAAAATATTTTTTTATCCTAATAAAAATGTGCTTGCTCTGTTTTTTTTATAATTTAGATGAAATAAATGAGAAATTTAGATTTACAAAACAAATTAAAATAAAAATTTTTGTATAATTTAAATATGAAAATAAAAAAATGTGGGTGCATGTTGATTCTGATTTTTTTTTTTTCGGGTCCTAATTAAAAATAAAAATTCTAAGATGTGAAATAAAGTATTGTTTTACATATGCAATTTGGTATGGGTATTGTTTAGCTTTTAGATTTAGAATAAGCAATAATGTTTTGTTTACAAACTATAACACTTTGTATTTTTATGGTATAAATATAGTGACCTAAGTAGTACCGTAAAATCTGTATTAGAAGCCCATTCTTTTTGAACAATTGAGACCCCAAAATTCACCATTTCTCATACGTGTAGATGCTCTAATAGAAGCCGCATCCACGGCTTTTAATGCAGATTTCCAGTAATTTACATTGGGAAAACACAAACCATTTGACTTCTATGATTGCCCAAGTCTGTGAGATCTTTTCTTTAACCTTTTCACCACCAGACTTTCAAGCAAATTTTTCAGCATGTTTTTTTCTTCCAATATTTTGTGAAGTTGTGATGAAAACATGTAACTGGTGTTGAAAAGGTTAAACCATTATTATGTGGGTTTGTCTAGATAAATGAGGACAGTATAACACAAGCTCTCTTTCTATAAAAACTTTCAAATCAAATTTACTTTTGGAATGAAAGAGATGATCACATAACATTTTTATAAAACTCCAGCATCATAACTGGCTTCATTAGAATGGATGGATTACAACAGCAACAACTCACTTCATACTAGTACCTCACCTTGCCTAGTATCTGTATACTAGCCTCACAAGTGACTGTGCAGCAGTCCCGGAAATACGTTAGAGAATTTCATTTCAAAATAAGCAGATGTATTTGTATTGTAATGATGTGTAATCATACATCATCTATTATGAAGAACTTTACAATAGATCAGTGATGGATCCTCAACTCTACTTGTTTCATTTATCTATGTCACAGCACTGCTCAACTCCAGAGGGCGCTTGTTAGTGGAAATTAATTCACTTTCCTATTGACCTTATAAGAATTATCCAATTAGAAATGTTTGCCAAATACAGTATTTTCTCACTTTTAAAATGCATCTCCAATAGATAAACCGGCAATAGATCACTTTCATGACCTCTACATGTCACATTATTTTCTCTGGTATAAAAATCAAAAATGAGTTTCTTCTATTGATTTTTTGGGACTATTTGTTTGAGCTGCTTGAGTAAAATGTTTTTGTTAGAAACAGACAAATTAAAATGCCCCATTTGTGTATGTATGTTTGTTGCTGTCATACCAACAAAAGTACCAGGATGTGTGACCTTTAGAGGTCATAAAAGTACCAGGATGTGTGACCTTTGGGATCATGAAAGTGACCTATTGCATTTGTTGTATCCTGGATCATTGAAATGTGTCTATTTTGAACATTTACACACCTCTTTCATTAACCCAAATGCATGCACTATTAATAGAACAAATAAGGTATGCCAAACATAGTATTTGCTCCATTATTATGAAGTGCATAAAAAACAAACATTTTTGTATGATGGATCATTAAAATATGACTTCAGCATATGCACGACTAATACGAATGACAATTATATTTATGAATTTATCCGCTTTGTGTATAAATATATCGACTTCGATGAAAAACTGTTGGTAGTTTGCTTTCAATTCCCGGTAACTATTTTTAAACGGCAAGAAATGTAACTTTTGCCAGTCCAATTATAATAGTTTAGCCTACTTTCCAATAAAGTCAAGATTACACCTGAACAAAACTATTTGTCTTTCTGATTTGAATTCATCACATCCCCCCCCCCAAAAAAAAATTCTTGTGTGTAAATGCATTTATTTTGCCTATGGATCTAAATATAACCTTAGCTTCTTTTAAATTTGACAACCGTTTTATTTTCCAGATGCATGTAGTTGATCAGAAAATATTTGTTTTACCTTGTATATTTGAATATCTTTCGCATAATGCATTGGATGCACAATAGACAAAATTTGAATTTATTTCCCACAATGCATTGCTTGAACAATTTTAATTTCTCCATCATATGCTCAGTTGGTAGATTTGAATTGCTCTACCATAATGCATTGCATGCTCAGTTGTTGCAAAATTTGAATTTCTCCATCATATGCTCATTAACATGCTCAATAGATTTGAGTTTCTCTCCATCATATGCTCATTAACATGCTCAATACTAGTAGATTTGAATATTTGAATTTTTCTTCATCATATGCTCATTAACACGCTCAGTGGATAGATTTCAATTGCTCTACCATAATGCATTGCATGCTCAGTTGATGCAAAATTTGAATTTCTCCACCATATGCTCATTAACATGCTCAATAGATTTGAATTTCTCTCCATCATATGCTCATTATTATGCTCAATAT